AATGCCCCCTTTACATTTGGATCCAGCTGCATCCCAGTAGGAAGGTCATTGTTTTCTAGGGGTGCTCCCAGGGGGACCCACATAGGCTCAAGAGGCCAGAGTATTGCTGCCTGCCGCTGTGGGAGGGAGGAGGGACTCGGATCCTCCCCCCAAGACACCCCAAAGCTGCCGGAGGATCTCCTCCAGCCATCTCCTTTGCTGTGGCCGCGTGTCCAGTGTGGCAGCCGTGTTCTGGTGCCCAGCTCTCCCTCCCTCTGGGCAGGCACTTCTGCCCCCGCTGTCCTCTGCTGGGGCCAGTCCCCAGCTGGGGCTGCGCCTTCTCACACCCCTCCCCACACTGCAGGTCCCGAGGGCAGGAGGCAGAGGCCGTGTGGAGGACCTCCTGGGATGGGTGCTGAGGACAGGTCCAAGGAGGGTGCCTCAGGTGTGCCCAGAGGGCCGGCAGCTGCTGTGCAGAACGGCACACGAAGGCAGGCCAAGGGCACCCACCGAGGACACCTGGGCGGCATGGAGCACCTTAGGGACTGAGCTGTCCCCAAGAAGCAGCGCGCAGCCCAGCCAGCATGGCTCAGTGGTTGAGTATCAATCTATGAACCAGGAGGTCGATTTCCAATCAGGGCACGTGCCCAGGTTTCCAGCTCAATCCCTAGTAGGAGGCATACAGGAGCCAGCCGATCCAAGTTTCTCTCATCATTGATGTTTCTCTCTCTCTCTCCCTCTCCCTTCCTCTGTCTCTCATATCAACAAAAATATATTGCCCTAGCCGATTTGGCTCAGTGGATAGCGCATCAGCCTGTGGACTGAAGAGATCTGGGTTCGATTGTGGTCAAGGGCACATGCCTGAGTGTGGGCTTGATCCCCAGTGGGGGGTGTGCAGGAGGCAGCCAATCAATAATCTCTCTCATCATTGATGTTTCTATCTCTCTTTCCCTCTCCCTTCCTCTCTGAAATCAATAAAAAATAAATAAAATTATATATATATATATATATATATATATATATATATATATATATATATATATGTTTGTATGTTTTTTTATAGCAGCAGTGCCCGATCGAGGGAGAGAAAGAGAGATATAGATACATGAAGAGAGAGGGCCTGGTTTGTAAACAGGTGTGTGTGTTGGGACTGGTTTCAACTTGACCACCCGCGTTCATCCGGTCTAGCTTCTGTCGGGGCCAATGGCGACCAGTGGGTGAGTATCGACCTATGAACCAGGAGGTCATGGTTTCATTTCTCTCTGTCAGGGCACATGCCTGGGGTGCGGGCTTGATTCTCGGTAGGGGGCATTCAGGAGGCAGCCGATCAATGATTCT